GCTCCTGGTTTGGATGGCATTCTAAACAGAGCATAAAAAAATGCGATAAAACGCAAAACTAAATACTTCGCAGAATATATGGACACGTCAACGTTTGGTTCTGCTATCAAAACCTAACAAGCCACCAGGAAACCCGAGTTCGTACAGGCCACTCTGTATTATCGATACCAGTGGTAAGATCTTCGAACGCTCCTAAGCAAAAATCATACGCCAAACCAGTTAGATCTTTGTTCCATAAAGGTTCTTCAAATGATCCGAGCGTCAACGCAAGCAGCAGAGCATTGTCGCGCATCACTGTCTCAGTATATACAGGTATTGCTGCCAAGCGCCGACGTATTAAGCCAGACATCATCACCGCCGGACACAAACGTAAGGCGTTCCAACACAGTTCCAGCGAGAAGCAGAACGTTCCTTAGCACTCCCAGAGCGCAGCATAGCGGATAGGGTTACAAACTATTCAACGGCGGCGCTGAGCGGCGGTGACAGTACTGCGTTAAGGTGTGAATGTCTCGCAGTGAATCGAGCCTCTGGCAGGCAACTCACTCTTTACCGTACGGACGCTGGAAGTTACGAGTGAAGTGGGTAGTGAGTAGTTCCGCTGAACTGCTCCACGTTTGGCATCGCGTCCGCTGCCATTGCTCTCCATAATTCCGCCTGATAGTAACGCCCTGACGGGGCACGCTAAACCGCTACTCTGCCATAGCGCTATCCTCAGGTGACATCACTACAACGCGGAAGACACAATTTTGTATTGTATATTTGAAGCATGAGGAATTGTATTAATAAGAAAACATAAAATAAATTACCATTTATAAAGAGCCCATAGTTTACAAATTTATCGTAACGAACCCTGGACATGGAGAGTATACCTTATCAAATTACAATACAATAAGCATTGCTGCCCCTGCTTCGTTACTGCGTACAAACCTAATTACAAAAATTCTCATTTCAAAATCATAGATTAAAGTAAACGAGCGTGATTACTATTTATGTGTAACACAAAGCAACTTTACGTTTTTGAAATCACATTGTTTTAGTTTGTATTAAAAGCGTTTACTAGGAAATATGGTCTAGTTCGAATGAATAGACATTTGATAATTTCGCAATTACAATTTTTACAACAATAATATTTGGGAAAACCCGGTCCAATAGCAAATATAATCAAAATATTGATTATAAATATTTTAGATTTTTTATAGAAAATTTAAAAATTCAGAGGGTGGTTTTAGTGTGTACCTTTTCGGCATAGATTCCACTACACTATTTGGCAAGTACTATATTGATTTTCTGAAGTGAAGAAGAATATTGTTCTTTAAAATGTTTGTAAAACAAGTACCCGCAAAAATATACAAACATTTTTATGTAGAAAACTGCTTTCATCGACGTCCACATTCATCTAGATTTGTATATTTTGAAATGAGGTAGAATTGGTAGGTCTTGGTAAACGTTGAAAAGTTTGCCAAGAGGTGTGTTAAACCAATGCGTCGTTGCAGGCGCCTTTGCTGGGGGTATTCGAAAATGCGTAAACTAAATTGCGTAAAATATTTATTTTAATAATTATTGAATTTCCGCTTTATGATCCATTCACTTAGGGTACCACTAATATACTTTAAATTTATTGAAATTGAATTTAACTAATTATAAATTAATATATGTTATATTCTTTGAAGTAAGGCGGAATTTTCGATTACGCTGGGTTCTTAATACTATATATAATATTATATATGTACATTTATGAAATCGTCCATCGTGCTTGCAAACGGCTTTTTACTAGGACATTAGTGTCAGACTTTGTAATTTATGCCCATTCAATATCTACAGCAGCTTTTAACGTGTCCTTGGACTAAATATTGTAGTTTGGAATCCTTTTTCTAACAAATCCCATAAGTGCTCGATGGAATTAATGTTAGGTGATTGTGGTGGAGAAAACAGAAAAGTATACAAATTTATGTCGCACTTGAGTTTATTGCTATAAGATTCAAAAAGTATAACATTGCCAATTAGTATTGTTTTCAAAACTTAAAATGAGGACAACAATTTTGATATTTCATAACCAATATAGATATTAAAATTTAATTAACAAAGAAAACTGAAAAGATTCTAGGCTCTTAGGCTCTGGCACGCGTTGCGAATCTGACTTGTTAAGTGTGCATGGCCAACGGTGCAAGGAGTTTGAAATATAAACTATATTATGCACTTAATTATCGTTTTAATTATACACTTGAATCTGATTATAATTCCATTCTATACTTTCATTGTTGTAACAGTTGTTAGTAATATTTATATAGTGAAATTAATTTTAATTTGTACCATTTGTTTCTGATACTTTGTGAAACTACTTTGAATATATCGATCAATATGTGAGATATCAAAGTGTATGAAGACGACATTTAATTGTTTGTAACAAGTGTAGGAAACTTCGGTTTATTTCTTCTTTTAGGACTTATACGGAATATATTTTTTTCCGTCTATATGCTAGATGTTATATCATACGTATACGAGTGATATCTCAATAAAATTAACTAAGATTAAAGGATATCATGTACAGTTACTGACAATAAAATTTCCTTCACAACTATTTGGAAAGAAAAGTGTTACCACAGATCTTAGGAGGAAACAATTATTTTTTGTAATGAAATTTATTTTAAACATTTCAAAAGCATAAATAACTTAATACAAATTTAAATATTATCAGCAGACAATTTTTAAAGGGACTGTCCGGAATTTCAATTGGCAATTAAATACAATCAATTTAACTGCAAATCCTTTATTTGCCAGTATGGCAGCGTACCTTGTCTTCATAGATTCCACTACAGCTTTACAGACTGAATTTGGTATTGAATACCACGTCTCTTGGACTTTTTCCTAGATGTTCCTACTTATTTCGTGGTTTAATGGGTCCCATCTTTTTCTCTACAATCTTCCACACATTTTCCATATGATTTAAATCCGGAGATTGCGCCCGCCAAGTAATAACATATATTTATTGATTCTATAGCCAAGTTTTGACCACACCGAAGGTATGCTTCGGGTCATTGTCATGTTGAAACTCCTAAACTAAAGGCATGTTCCATCCAGGATAAGGAAGCATTACATCTACAATTCTAAGGTAGTGATAACGGTCCATGATTTCCCAAATCCAAAACAGCGGTCCAACTCCGTACCACGCAATTGTAAAGGGGGGTTCAAGGCGTTTTGTGGACGTTTAAGAGCTATTTACAGGAGCCTTTTTTCTGGCGTCACAAGTGACTGTAACCTCCATCTTGGGGGATCAGGTATAGAACCTAACCTAAGCGCACATGTTTTCTTTACCTTAAAGTTAATGCATTGAATGTAAGCGATACAGACGTTGATATAGCCCTCATATACCTCATTTTTAGATTTTCACCTGTTCTTTCTAATCTATTACCGAGTATATAGTTTGATGTAAGATATTGAAGGGGTATTAAGTGAACATTTACTTTACCAATAAAGTGATTGGGTGCTAAACGTTGATGAATTGGGTTTATATGTTCTCTTAGCCCTCATACATAACAGTTTCTCCTCTTATGATGCTTAGTTATTCACAATTTTGCCAGACCACGCATTTTGGTCAGTATCCAACATTATTTAACATACAGTTTTTCCAACACTTGAAAATATTTGCCATTCTTTTATCCGTACAAATTGCGAGAGTAAAAAATGCTCGGCTGCACCCACACTTAACCCACAATTACCATATGTGTTTTATTTTATCGATACAAACTCAGAACGGACTATCACATGAATATTTTCTTTCAGTTAAACTATGTACTCTAATTTGACCCCTAAGAGCTGATTCTCATAAGTTATGATTTATATTTTTATTGTTATTATCATGATCGCAAATACAATAAGTTTATAACATGTACAAAATATAACGTTACACAATGTAACGAAAGGATTTTTTTCTGATTGACTTTATTTCCTAACCATTAAGTTTGGCATTTTAAAGTTAGACAAAATTTAACTAAAATATTCTAATTGCCAAAAGTGTTAAACTTCTATATAATTATTGAATTTCTGCTTTATGATCCATTCACTTAGGGTACCACTAATATACTTTAAATTTATTGAAATTGAATTTAACTAATTATAAATTAATATATGTTGTATTCTTTGAAGTAAGGCGGAATTTTCGGTGGCAGACATAATGCAATTCTTTAGTTTAACTAATAAATAAAACAAGTTTTAATCCTAACTTAAATATACATTTGTTATTTTTTGCGGAAAGTTTTTAGGGTCCACGCTGTATAAGCCATTAGCTGACTAGATACGACGTGTGTTTTGGGTCGTTACCTTGTTTGAAAAAGAAATCGGCTGCTGGGTCTTAGTTTTTGTACGCTTGGACAAAAATTTTAATTTAAAATAGCTATGCACCCCCAAATAACGATGTTTCCTCCACCATGTTTGACTTCAAGTATTGTATTAAGTTATTTTTCGGCATCTCTGCATTGGTACGCCTCCATACTTTTATTACTCCGTCCGACATAAAAATGTAGAATTTTGATTCGTCGGCGAATGCAACATTCTCCCAAAACGAGTTTTGTTTATCAAGAAAATTCTTAGCAAATTTTAACCGATTTTTCTTATTTGCTTTTGATATGAATGGTTTACGTCTCGCAGTTCGTCCCTTATAACTAGCTTTGTGCAGCACATTCCACACAGTTTGAGGATTTACATATTTTTGAAATTCGATAAACTATGTTGCCAATTTCACGAAGAACTTTATTTTTCAAATATTATATTAATATTATTTTTCCTACTTCGAGCGAAATTTGCAAATTGCGTTCCATTTTTTAATTTCAGCAACTAATTACACTAAACTTTTACACTTGATTATGTATAGTACTCCGTCAGGCTTAAACAAATTATTGAAAAAAATTAATCCAACGCAATTAAAATCAAAACAACATTACACGCTGAAAGAAGTATACTTAACCTATTTATTATTGCTTTTTCACTGTTTTTTTAATTAACAGTGTCTAAGTGGCGCCACAAGAAAGATAACGGCACAACAATCACACCGTAACGATGAGCATAATGCTGTTTTTAGAATATACATAACGGGATTTTTCAAACTTTTGTTGAAAATACTTGTTTGAACGGTTTTTGGTATAAATTTGTTACTGTGCCTAAACTTAATTGATTCCCTGTATCTAAAACAAATATTCCTAAAACAAGCCGACTTATTGTTAAGTAAATAATTTGTTCAGCATAAAATTCAAAAGTTAAGCAAAGGTAAAGATATACAATTTTTAAATGCGGTAATTTTAGACTTAGCATATGTGCATACTATTTGCTTTATATTTTATTAAAACGTTACTAATAATAATTTTTTTTTCATTAAAGGTTCTCAATAACATTGTTCACGAAATATCAAAGTTAGACGGCATATCCCGAGTTTTATACGATTTGACATCCAAACCACCAGGTACAACCGAATGGGAGTAATTCGTGCATTTAATTTTGTCCTGATTTCTATGATTGGATCTCTAATACAAATCGTATGAAATATGTGAAAATGATAAAAATATATTTACTGAGTTTAGTTTTTATAGTTATTAAATAAATGGGCTCTAAATCTAATATTCTTTTTTTACTTATTGATCCAGTATTCAACACTGTTAAATAATCCTTATATTATATGTTATTATTTGAGGCGAAAATGAAATAATTTTGTTAATGAAATAAATGAGAAAATTTCTACTGGTTTTTTTAAACTTGGATTTATTATACGTATAACAGACGATGAAAAATTCATGTCCTCAAAAAAAATTTACAACATGCCTTTTTTTGCACGAACTGACGATCTTGCTTCAAAAGAAGGACTAAACAAGTATGTATGTACATTACAAAATTGGAAATCGAATAATTGTTTAATTTCCAAAGCACACAACAAGGTGTATATAATTATGTTAAGAATTGAGTGACATTACAGATTATAGCAATGAAAAGCAATTAGCAATGAAAAGCAATTAGCAATGAAAAGCATTAAAGCGAGGAGGAAAGTGGAGATGGAAAGGATGGAGCTGCTTGCCAATCATTTAGCAATAAAGAAGTAAAATAACCCAGTTGGAGAGAATGGCTTAAAAAATGATATTGTAAAAAGAGAATTATTGGAGGCATGAACTCTATACGCTTAAGGTAAAAGCCCAGCTGCTAAAAATTGCCAGATTAAGCTCGGAAAAAACTATGTGCTGTTATCGTTAGTTAAGCGCACACGTAAGCCTCTATTATGGCTTTCAACTCAACGGCATTGTGGTTAAAGTTTTGATATTCGGGTCGGAGGCAGCCCATACCAACCACTGTTGCAAAGGCTGGGCTACTAAGCAGTGGAAAGAGTGAGATGCCAAAAGTGATGCTGTTAGTGTGCATCAGCCAGCGAATGGCCTACATTTAAGATAGAAGACACAGCGAAGGCAAAGTATGCATAAGAAGCGTAGCGCTACATACCTGCTGAGAAAGGTGGAGTTTGGTTGGCAACCAACCATTAAACATCTTTTATGCGATTGGACAGCTCTATATAGAAAATAATCGCAGCCATCGGTCGAGGGTTTCTTCACGACGTCAGGGAGGGTGCACGGCTAAATCTTGTCTTACTAATGAAGTGCATCAGAAGTTCAGAGAGGAGCCATTACCCACCTACCTAATGCAAAATGTAGAGTGGGTTAAAAAACTATTTTAAATAATTTGAATACTCTTGTAAAAGAGTATAATAGTTTTGTTCTAACGGCTGTTTGTATCACCTCAATCTATATATATACATAAATGATCAGTTGGAAGGGACATGTTAAAATTCGTGTGACTGTGTGTCCGTCCGTCTGTGCTGTAACTTGAATATAAATAGAGATATATTGATGAAACTTTGTACACATTTTTCTTGGCACAAGAAGTTCATATTGTCGAAGGGCGTGAACAAACCATCACCACGCCCACAAAACGCCATTAATCGAAATCTAATAAATTGTCATAACTAAGCTCCACAATGAGATAAAAGACTGTTATTTGATAAAACGAATCGCTTTAGGGACAAACATCTGTAGTTTTTTTAAGTGGGCGTGGCCCCGCCCCCTACTAAGTTTATTGCGCATATCTCCTAGACCACTTAAGCTATAATAAACAAACTCACTCAAGACAAATTATTTTACCACCCCTACCGACAGTGTGAAAATTAGTGAAATCGGGTGATAACCCCGCCCACTCCCTATAAAACGGTTTTGATTAAAACTTCTAAAAGTGCGATAGCTCATTAAATAAACAAGTCAGAGACTTAGAATTTTACACATAGGCGTGGCAAAGCCCACCCTTAGATGAAAACCCATATCTCGGGATCTAAGCGACCGATTTCAACTAAACTTGGTAAGTAAAACTCTCCTGACATGCCTATGTTACTGTGCAAAAGCGAAATCGGATTACAACCACGCATATTTCCCATGTTACATAAATTTAAATTCCATCTGATTTTTTGACTTTCCAGTGTACAAATCAAGCAAAATCTGCCATCTGAAGTCTATAAATTGACGAAGTCATAACTGCTCAATGTTCAGTGTCCATGGTTGCCTTATTATTTTTCCGTTAGCAATATGTGGTAATGCCAATAATCGATAAAATTGGGACAATACTACCCTTAACTCTATATGTACATAAAATGATTTTTGTTATTTTTACAAACCTTATGCCAAATACCTCGGTCAGTGTGTAAGTTATTTATTTATAAACATGCTTTAAAATATGTTCTCGAGTATACCTTTACAATGTCAATGGTTAATACCACAAGCCCAGATCTTTCTCTGCCCCCAATATACCCTGATTTCCAACTATCCAGCTGACAAAGCAGTTATTGGAAAAATGTTTCTTATTTTAATGGAATTAAGTGAACAAGTTTTCTTAAAAATTATAAAATTATATTAATGATTTAGCGCTGAATATGTAAGGATTTTGTGTAAACATTGGTATAAACCGCATATCCCTAATATAATGATTTCCCATCGTCTCGTTGGTTTTCAACATCATTTCAATAAATTAAATTTACCTCTCCGGTTGAGTTTATATCACATATATCACATTTGGAAATGTTAGACAATAAAACTAAGTGAGTCTATAACATATAATATCTAAAATTCTCGTGTCACGGTGTTTGTTGCCAAACACCTCCGAAACGGCTAGACCGATTTTACTGAAATTAGTTGTGCTCATCGGGTTGGTCTGAAAATCGACCGACATTTATTTTTCATACCCGTAAAACCACCTCAAATATTACTGCTTTTAATTTTTGTGGTCAAAACCTTTTATTTTTATTTTTTGACGGTTGAGCATTGTAAAATACATACAATTCAACATTTTCACACTTATATGATCAACCCCTGATCTTTAATCACGATTTTTATATTATTTTGTTGCATCCACAGATGGTAATCGAATATAATAATTGCAGTATACTATAATTTTCATGTATAGTTCTATAAACCATATTCACGCCAGGTGCCTTCCGTAGTCACTTCGCAACCAGAAAATATCGCAGAGTAGGTAGGTAGGTAGGTAGGTAAGAGTGCTACACCTTCGGGCACAATTAGCGCTAGAAGCGTCATTTTGTGTTCAAACCATTTGGTGCCATTTAATGAAACTACTTATTTTCGTTATGTTTTTTGTAGATAGACATTCGAGGTTTGATAACTGTTGGATTCCAAAAGTTCGATGTCTGATTTGTGATAGACTGGGCACTCACAGAGGAAGTCGTTTCCTTGCTTCCTTTGAGTTTGCAGCTACGTCTGGAAAGGCTTCTGACTTAGCCAACTCATCTGCCTTTTCGTTGCCGAAAATGTTCGTGTGACCGGCAACCAAAATTAAGGTACCCGTATTTGTTTAGTTCCACAGTTTTTCTCTATTATTAGTAATTCTGCTTAGAAGATGTTAGCTGAGTTTGGTAGACAGAACGTTGGAGAAATATCTAGACCCTCGGAATATACCCCTGTCCTAACACCCCAGTACATTTTGGACCCGTACGTATAGATTGTCATAGTACTCTCCTCCCCAACTAAACCATCTCCTCCATTCACGTCTAGAGGTTATTCTCATCTGGAATCACTATTGAAGTCCAACCTTGGGAGGATAGTCTGATTTACTTCGATTAGTATCGTGCTGGTTCAGAATTTCGCTATGCCCATAACTCTTCCTGTTTCAACCACCAATCTCCTTAATTGTTCTACCAGAAAGTGTTGCCACTTTCCGTGTGTAAATGTCTATGGGCAGTTGGTGGAGGAGCATATTTAGCGCATCATTTGGACATGATGTAAGCGCCCCGCTAACCCCTGCACAAGCTGCCCTTTGAATTCTAATTAGTTTTCTGATGTTATATTGTTTATTTAATGCTGGCCTCCAAACCAATGCTCCATATGTAAAAATTGTTCTAATGACAGCCGTATAAGTACCATACATTCTCATAACTACATTTGGTTTGAGGCTCCAGTTTCTGGAATCACGACTGCAGTGTTGCAAATTTGTCACAGTATAACGTTTTTCGTGAATTTCTGGTAACACTTGCAACAGCATCACTTTCTACTGTAATTTTTTATGCAAATAGTCGGCAACACTAAACTTTTGGCGGCACATCAGTAGACTATCAGCAAATATGGAATAAAGTTGCTGTACTGCTGCAATTATTACGTAGCTCGAACGCACCCTCCTATTACACGTGTAATACGCCATACAAGTATAAGCTTTCCTATCTACGTTTTTCAATATTCAATTTCCAGTTCAGTTTGGTATCTATCTGCTATGGTGTCATTGAACCGTGCGGTGCTATCATAATTTTGTTCATAAGCATGTTGTGAAGTGAAGTGAAGCATAGTGACAAGTTGTCCGCTAAGATCGATCTGATGTGTATATCGATTAGCCTATCTAAGACCTTCAGCATGAAGGAGCTGAGGCTTATGGGTCTTTCCAGCTTCTTGGGATATAAGATAGCCGGATACTGGCTCAGATTCTTCCAAGTTTCAGAACCATAGGTTCTTTCAGCTTCTGGAACATTAAGGCAGTAATCCCATCTGCCGCTTTAAATAGTGATTAATTTACTCGTTTGAGCTCACCGTTTATATGCGTTTATTGAAAGAAAAAAAATGAAATAGATTTTCCGGCGGCACCCCTAGGCGAATTCTAGCCTAGAAGTCATTGGTTTTCGGACTCGATCCGGACGGCTGCTCTGCTGTGATCTGCTCGTGGCATGGTGGCTTGGGTTGAATTGTCGCCCGACGGCCCGCTTGGGGGTGCGGTGCAGCATGGTGTGGTGCGGTCTATTGAACAGTTGGCATAGCGTAACGGACGTACACTCCGGAGTCGCGTGTGCCGTAGCCAAACAACCTGCTGACGTTGCATGGGCTGCATGCCTCGGAAAATGTTGCAGTGTTGCAGCCGGTGTGTGCATCGACACAGTGGGCATCGGCTGCGTTGGCATTCCGTTGCTGGTGTTGAAGAGGGTGCTAGTGGTTGCGTACCACTACGGGGAGCGGTTGCAGGAACCGTTGCCGCTGTGGTTCGTGGTGCTGGAGTTGCCCTAGGGCGCGGAACGTTGATGGCTGA